CACGAGTAAATTACGAAACTTGATTCGAGTCAACCAAATTGAGTAAAAGCGGTACTATTTATTGATACTCAAATGGGATTGTGAATATTGGGTGCCAGGCTCAGGTACGAGCACTACAAAGAACGCTGCTCAAAAGCTACAGCGAAGAAGTCATTTATGAAATCAAATTTTTTGCAACATAGGTGTACTACCCTACAACTTTTTGTGATAATTTATTAGACTTTTAAACATATGTTTTTACTATGGTTATTGTTGGAAATAATTAATTAATTGGGGACACATGATACATTACGAGAGTCGTTTAAATAATGATATCTATGAAGTGATATAAACTTGCGATACATGTAGCCTATGTGGCGCCAGAATTTGCACAACTAAAAATAGCTTGTGTGGCGGTTGTTGCTTACAAGACGATTAGTTTGTGTGCGTGTTGGGTATTCATTGTGAGTAATAATTTAATCATGTGGAAGTAAATATATGTGTTGTATATTTTGTCGATGTGATATATACAGGTTATGTCTAGGTGATGTAAACGAATGTACATGAGGGGAAGTGTAATTTGAGAGTAAGTATTTAATTCGTGGTTAAAGTTGTTTCTAAATAAATAAAATTTCCTTTATTACTTGTTATGATCTTAAATATTAATTGCATCTTTGCTTTTACTAATGGTTTTAGTGACTTTTCAGGAAAAACCATAACGACGTGAAGAGTCCACTGCAGAGTCTAGAGGATCGATTGGGATGTCACCATGGAGTTCATTTTTATATGTCCTTTAAATTTAAATTGTATTATTCTATGTCATATTCTTGAGATCAATATTACAGTATGTAAACAAGCAGTACTTGTGGCAAACCGTACCCCTAAGGGGTTTGATGTATTTTTTTTATATGCTTATTTTTACATTAATAAAGGTATATGACAAAAACATAAAAAGGTATTACAGATATTGTACGCCGGGTTGGGGTGTTACATTGATGATCGAGCATAATATTTTGTGATCAATTATGCTTTTTGCAATTGTTACTCCCCCAAAAAATTATAATTAACTTGATCTTAAACAATTATAATTTTGAAATGGACAATGCAGTTTTCTTCCTTTCATAATGTTGTTAATGTATTTCTTGTCATAATGTTGCAGTCATTGGATCTAAATGCCCACCAGTTTCTTTTTTTATTGTATTTATTTTCTTAATAAATCATTCACTATTAGTGAGCGAAAAATTTATTTATATAAAATAAATACCACTTGAATTTTGAGTGGAGAATCCACTAATTAAAAAAATGGAAATACATTGTATTGTAGGGTATCAAACTTTGACAATCATTTAAGGTTATCCGACTTTCATCCACAGGTTGGGATATGGTCTAGAAATCCCAACTCAATTTAATTTTGAGCAATATTTCAGTTGGGGGTCTCAAATTCTCGGGACTAGTGAATTTAGTTCATCATGAGTTGAACATTTATTGTAACTCTAGTTGTAGAATCAAAGAATTAAATTTGAGTTCAACCCGAATTGCATATTCCGACTTGGACTAAGTATGTACGGGGCTTGTGTCCATCACCTCACAAGACATTATCTTCTCTCTGAAGGTAGTTGTACTGTTGGGGGTGATTGCACCCAACAGTTCAAAAGAAAATGTCTTGATAATAAACAAGGGGGATGCAATTCCGCTGCCACTGGGAGGCGTCTCATGGTGGTTCAATGGTGGAGACTCGGTCGTGGTCATTGTCTTCTTGGGTGACACTACCAAGGCTTATACACCTAGCCAATTCACCTATTTCTTCTTGGCGGGAACCCCAGGTATCCTGCGGGGTATATCAACTGAATTTGTCAGCAGAGCTTATAACATCAATGAAGAAGAAGCTCACTTGCTCGTGAACAATCAAACCGGTGCTCTGATTGTTAAATTTGAAGAAGGTACCATTTGATAAAGTTTATCTAAGTATTTTAGTTACTTGTTTTAATAGTGTTTATTTTCCTATTTAATTATTTATTTTCATTGTATATGATGATACCAAAAAATAGAAAAAAGACAGTAAGATTCTAGAAAACAACAAGTAATAAAGAAACTACCAAAAGGGGCATAAAAGGATTTTCACCATCAAATCATACCTTAAGCAATAACTCACACAAAATATTCTCTAAATATTCCCTAAATATTCTTTCAATATTTTTGTTATAAAAGGCAATGATAATTATATAGAAAGGGGGTCTGAAGCAAGAAAAAAATCATATTGTACTTTTTTTTTTCAAGAAAACAATATACAATCGAGGAGCAAGAGCTTTCATTACAGTAGATTAGTCAAGCTTTTCAGCTGGTGAACCACTTATTTTCTCATGTATTCTCATTTATTTTTACACACACGACACTCCCACCAAGAGCTCATCCAGCTCTCCACTTCATGCCTCTCGATTTTTTACCACTATCAATTTGACATCGTTTGTGAGAATGATTTTCATCGTTCTAAATCAAATATCTAACGATTGACTGATACTTCAAGATAGAATCATGAGCCAAAATCTCGATAATCAACCAAGTGGTCTTGTACCCACAACACCCTTTGACTAGTCAGCCTTCGATTGGATGCTAGATCAAATTATATTTTCAATTCTTTTGGTGATCTCACCAAATTATTATTTATTCTTTGATAGTATTTATTCCAAGTCATTCCTTTGGCATATTTATTTTTTAGCCTCCAAATCCATCATGCTCACCTTAAGACCGAGTATGCTCTCTGTTTTTGCCAGCTAAGGACTTTGTTGTGCTCCAAGCAACTTCAAGCTGTCTTCTCAGATGCCCAAGAAGAAATTCTACAGGAAGGAGTAGAACCATTAATAGTTGCTGGGACAATCACCCGTCAGACCTGTGACAACTTGCTGAAGTCTTACTTATATAATTTGGAGCTCTTCAGATTTCAAGGAATGACTTGACTCTTTAGCCCAATTTGGCTCTTCAGCCAAGGAACGACTTGACTCTTCAACCAAGGAATGACTTGGAAAAAATGATCTGGCTCTTTAGCCAAGGAACAATCTGGCTTTTCAGCCTAACCTGGCTCGTCAGCCAAAGAACGACTTGGCTCTTCAGCTAAGGAACGATTTGGCTCTTCAGCCTGACTTGGCTCCTCAGCTGAGGAATAATTTGGTTCTTCAGCCCAACTTGGTTCCTCAGCATAGGAACGACTTGGCTCTTCAGCTTGACCTGGCTCCTCAACTATGGAATGATCTGGAACGAACGACCTAGCTTTTCAGGCGAGGAACGATCTGACTCTTTAGCCATGGAATGACATGGAAGCCCGGCATGGCTCCTCAGCCTAGAAATGACTTGAAATGAACGACCTAGCTCTTCAACCAAGGCATGATTTGACTTTTTAGCTCAGAAATGACCTGGAGGGGGTGACCTAGCTTTTCAACTAAGAAACGAACTAACTCTTCAGCCAATGAATAATTTGGAAGGAACAGTCTGGCCCTTCAGCCAAGGATGATCTGAAAGGAAAGATCTGGCTCTTCAGTCCGACCTAGTTCCTCAACCAAGGAACGACTTGACTCTACAGCCCGACCTGACTCTTTAGCCAAGAAATGATCTGGAGAGAATGACCTGACTCTTTAGCCGAGGAACAACCTGACTCTTTAGCCATAGAATGACATGGAAGCCCGACCTCGTTCCTCAGCCAAGGAATAACCTGAAAGGAATTATCAGGCTCTTCAGCCAAGGAATGATTTGACTCTTCAGCTAAGGATTAACCTAGACGGAATGACCTGGCTCTTCAGCCAAGGTATGACATGCATCTTTACTCGAAGTATGGCCTAATTCTTCAGCTAAGATATTGCATCGCTCATCAATCGCTGCAAGACCTGACCCTTCAGCCCAAGTTCTTTAGTATAAAGAGCTCTTAAATCTCAACATTGTCAAGATCATCAGCCTTAGCCTCGAGTTTTTTAACTTCAACATGATCAGGCTATTCAATTTTAGCATTGTTAGGCTTATTAGCTATATTGTTCACGTTCAATCAAGCTTGACATTAGTATCTTGGACTTACTCGATTGACAATAAGCCCAAGACTCACTCAAAAGCACAAAGTTTGGACTGCTCAGCCACAACAATTGAATCGGGTTGGTCAACCCATCATAAACTCCTTAGGAGACTCCCCAGCTCTAAAGCTAGTCAGCTCGGCTTGGCTCCTCAACCTAAAAGAAGAAGTTAGCTCAACCTGCCTAAGTCCAAAATAGAACAAGGTTTTCAAAACTCTTAGAGCTTCTTCAACAAACCCCTCAAACTATTGAGCATCCTTGATTTGAATTGAAAAATGCTCAGCCCCAACCAATGGACGGCTCAAGTCAGTCCTTGCTCGGGGCAGGGGGCAACTGATGATACGGAAAAATATACAAGGGGTAGTGGGATTCTAGAAGACAACAAGCAATAAAGAAACTACTAGAAGGGGCATAAAAGGGTTTTCACCATCAAACCATAAATTAGGTAATAAGTCACACCAAATATTCTCCTAATATTTTGTTATAAAAGACAATGATCACTATGTAAAAAGGGGTCTGAAGTAAGGAAAAATCCTTATTGTAATCTTCTTCTTCAAGAAAACAATATACAATAGAGGAGTAAGAACCTCCATTACAGTGGATTAGCCAAGTTTTTCAACCGATATACCACTTATTTTCTCGTGTATTCTCATTCAGTTTTACACACACACGACACACCCACCAAGAGCTCATCCAGCTCTCCACCTCATGCCTCTCGATTTTTTACCACCATCAACATATATACAAAGATATATTCAGGATCATTAGATAGCATTTTTCTTAATCTTTTTGTTTTTTTAGTTTCTTTTTTCAAAAAAATGTTTGCTTTTTTCATTTATATACGAAGATACATGTAGATCACTTTGTTAGATAGTAAATTAAACCTATTTTTATTTATTTTTAACAAAATTACATTTATGTTTAAAATGTTTCTTTAAAAAAGAGTTACTAAATGAAACAGGAATCAACATGCTCCAGCCATGCAAGGACAATATCAAAGAGGGATTGGTTGCCAACATTGATGAAGCTGTGCCAGATGTTGCGGTACAGAATGAAGGATCGCTCTCTCTGATCACATCGGAGAATTTTCCGGTGTTCAGACAGGACGGACTCAGTGCAAGTCTTGCAAAATTGGATGCTAATGCCATGTTGGCTCCATGTACACAACAGGTTCATCAGTTTAAATGGTTTATGTCAGTAGTGGCAGTGGAAGGGTTCAAATGGTAGGGTTTAATGGACAGAATGTTTTAGACACCAAAGTGCAGGCGTGGAAGCTTTTTGTTGTGCCCAAATTCTTCACTGTTTCAGTAAGTGCAAAAGGAGAAGGAATGGAGTGTTTCTCTATGCTAACATCTTCAAAGTAAGTACCATTTTAATTATGTATTATAGCACTATAGTTTAGTAGTTAACGTCTATGAAAAACCTAAGTTTTCAAAACTATTTAAAAAACCATCTAGTGTAACTAGAACGGGAAACACTCTAAGATTAGCATTTCTAGTTTCAAATTCAAGTACAACTATTGGATAAATTACACTTACACCACGTGAGCTATTACCCTTTTTCCACTTTGTCCCCTCAATTATCAAATTTCTCACATTACATTCTTAACTATGTGATTACTTTCGCATTGCCACAATTATTAACATCCATTACATATTTAATAGAAAATTATTTTATTTTGCCCTCCAAACTATATATTTTTTTTCACTACTCCAATGCGTCAATGATTTCTCTCCAAAAAGATAGCAAATATTTGTGATTAGGGCAATGTGAAATAAAAATATTAATTGAGGGTGCAATGTAAGAAATCTAGTATTTAAGGGGGTAAAGTAAAAAAAGAGTGATAGTTCAGGGGTGCGTAAGTATAATTTACCCACAACTATTTGTTGCCCAATGTGTGTGGCTCGGCAAGTACTTAATTTTAAGGAGATATAGTTGTGAGAAGATTATTCATTAGGAAAATAAATTTATGTAATACAGTTGCGTGAGTGGCACTTTGTCGCTAAAGGACTTTAAAATGTCCACTTTAGTCTCAGAGATTAAAAGACTCAAATCGTACTTCAAATTTTTTTTTTAAAAATGCTACATAATTCAAATAAAATATAAAAATTAAATTTTAAATACATATAATCCATTGGATGAGTTTGGGATGAGTGAGCTCCACTGAAAATATTGATAGGACACACTCATCCAATAAATTATATACATTTAGGTTGTAATTTTTTAAGTTTTTTTTGGATTTTGTAGTATTGTTCTTTTTTTCAAATTATAACTACGTTACCATTTTCATCCTTTCTATTCGCAAATAAATTTCCCAAATTGGGACAAAAAGGGCCAAATGGCTGCCACTTTTAAATGTTCAAGATGTAATTATGGTGACATCTTAGATTTTTGAAGAGGCAAAGTGAAAATTTGAAAAATAAAATGTTATCTGGACTTAAAATGCTGACTTGATCAATCATTGTTATTGATTTAACCGTATGTCTCAATATTTATTAAAACTCACTTTCTATAAAATCATACTTATTAAATGTAAAGATGTTTATTATTATTTTTTTCAATTCTTTTGTAGACCTTTATTTGGCCAATTAGCTGGGAAAACATCAGTATTCTCTATATATGTGTCGTGTTTGTCAAATTTTTTGTCAACTTATTGTTTTAACAAGCTTACCTTTTTATCACTCAAGTCTACTATGACCAAAGGTGAACTTGCTAATTTTGTATCAATCTTATATCATATTAGTGTCTACAATTGTAGACCTACTTATGTTTCATGCTAAAATACAAGAGTATTTGCGTCAAGAAAGACAAAAGAGGTGTTGGATGGACGTCTGAGTCTTATTTATAGTGAATTTTGTGGCAGGAAAGAGGTGTTGAATGTGCATACAAATCTCCTTTAGGTTGTCCATGGTTAGCTCAAACCCACCCAATGAAACCTGAGTATGGCCCAAGATGTGCCACACTCTTTCGACTCGTGGTTAGGTTTTGGGCAAAAGATTAGTCCGCACTATTTTGGAATTGGACTAAATTATACTTTGACCTCTTAAACTATAGACTTAATTTCACTTTGCTCTTTAAACTATTGAATTTTTTGCATTACTCCCTCAACTACTCAAATTATTTTTCATTGACCCAATTGCAAATCGTCTGTTATCTTTTTGGACAAAAATTGCTAACGTGCTAGGGAAAATTGAAAAAAATAATATATTTTAGGGGGCCAAAATAAAACAACTTGAATTTAAATATATAACAGACGTTAACAATTAGGGCAATATGAAACTAATCACATAATCAATAGTACAATATAAAAATATGATAGTTGAAGAGATAATATAAAAAAGGGTCATAGTTGAGAGGGTCAAAGTATAATTTGCACATACTTTTCCTAGTTATTATGGTGCCGATGGCATGGAGTATATTGGTCAAAAACTCTATAAAGTGAAAAAATAATATTAAAATTTTAATTATTTTAATTAATTTCATATGTTTGTTTAGAAATTTTCAAATATAAAATAGAAAGAAATAGGAATTAAAAAAAATAAACAATTGGCTTGGGCAAGAACCAAGAAGAATGCCATCATATATTGGTCTAGGATCCGAATTGGCTTGACCCAAGCCTTAAACCGGGCGGTTTTCTAGTCCAACCTTAGCCAGTCACAGATGTACTTTGGGGTTGGTGCCTTTGCCCTTCATCGATGCAGACTTTTGTTTAGAAATAGATATTGCACACGTGTATTCCACGTAACTTATTTTTAATAATAATTTTGATTTTATATTTATAATGTTAGTATATAGGTTAATTTGTTTGAAACTGAAATATTATAAGAAATTGTGTCAAATATGGTTTTTATAATTTATGAGTCATATTTTATAGTTTAATTGTAAATACAATAAAATATATTAACTATGTACGGACACATACCTATCATACTCTTTCAAATTTTAAATATAATAAATGATTGAATCAAATTGGTCTACTCTAATTGACAACCCTTCAATCTATAAAGTCTATACCAATTAAGAGATCAAATAGTCAATTCTTACCAAATGCAAGACTTATGGAGTGTTTGTTTCGTGTTCTTGTTTTGTGTTTTGTGTTTTTATTTTTATTTTTTGAGCACAACAAAAATAAAAATAAATATATATTTGGATTTGTGTTTTTGTTTTATATAAAATAAGTTGTTTCGAAAACAAGGCCAAAAATCAAGGAACAAAAAAAAAATGATGTTTTTGGAAACAAGGCACAACAGAAAACACGTCCTCCTTAATAGCGTTAATGAGATTCGGGTTTTGAACTACTTTAGCAGTAAAAATAGTCTTTTTTCGTGGAACTATTTAAACTTATTTTATTTTTCTCTCCTCTCCTTCGCTTCCTCACAGTTGGTGAGAGAGGAGAGGAGATGGATGCTCCCCGTCGGTGACGCTGAGAGAGACAATCTCTGTGTAAATATCTCTGCTCTGTGTGTGTTGTATTTTGTGTGCTTTGGGGGGGTGTGTGTTCTGTGTGTGTGTTGTGTGTTGTTTTTGTGATTAAATTGGGATTGGGTTTGAATTTTCATTTAAGATTGAATTGGGAATTGGATTGAATTTCCATTTGAGATTGAATTGGGAGTGAGATTGAATTGACATTTGAGATTGAATTGCCATTTGGTGCTTAGGAATTCAGAAGGGCATCTAGTTCTCGCTGCTGCTGTTTTTTATGGTGAGGGTTCGAATATGAGGGCAGAATGTTTGGCCTTACTTGATGGGTTGAAAATGGTGTTGCATTATGGGCTGGGTGATTATTGTTTTGCCATTGAGTCTGACTCTCAGACATTGGTTCACGTGGTAATCGGAAAGGTTGAAGTGTCGTGGAAATGTAAGGCCACTTTGGGGCAGATCTGGGGCATTCTTGGTTTAACTGATTTCTCATGTTTTTAGGGAGGCGAATGGTTTAACTGATTTTTTAGCGTCGTATGCAGTCAGGACGAGGTCATCTACTGATTTTACTGATACTGTTCTGCCTTTTGATGGGAAGATGTTGCTGCATCAGGACCAATGCATGTTACCGGTGTTAAGGGCGAAGAAATCCCTGATTCCTGGAGGGGTAAGCCTGCCCTTGATGGGTTGAAGATGTTTTTGAGATACAGCTTGGAGGTGTACGTCGCCTTAGTTTTTTATGTCGCCAATTTGAGTGCTCTTTCGGATTTTTTTTTAACTCTTTTTAAATATTTTTTTCTTTTATATAGATGCATTGTGATAAAATTATAATCATGATTTACCAATGCATACTTCGGGTGGATACACATTTTTATTTGTCAATAATATTTTTTAATGTGAAATTATCACTTGACACATTGTTACACATGTGCATTGCATGTGAATAATTTTAATTTATAGTGGTAATGTTATTTTTGTCATTATGTTGAAACAATTAAATAAATATACACCTAAGAATCAAAGTATATGCCCTTTGATAACTTGTTGTCCGGATATGTTATATGTTGTTATGTGTTCTAAACACCATAATCTTCAAAGAAGTTAGACTACATGCTAAATTGATTATTTAAAGACTGATTAGTCGCCCCATGAATATTGGAAGATTGATTGAGACTATATGTCTATGTGTGACAAATTTACTATACTTTATCGATAATAGACTCAATCCCTTCTCCTGATGTATTTGCCTATTCTTAGAGGCATGGATAGAACCACTACTTGACCAAAAGGGGACATAGCCTTACCTCAATTTTTTTTAAAAAAAACTCTTATATATTGAAAATTTTAAGAAATAAATAAAGTATGTGGCGAAGGCATATTGAGTAAATGCATAGTTTTTACTATTTTTTGATTGAACTAAAATGATCACAAAAATTGGACATAAATTAAGCTATAATTATTAGATTATTTCATATTTTTGTGTTGAAAATTTTCACTATATGATAAAATTGAATTAAAATTTAGTTGTACATGAGTGATTATGTGATGAAAATAAACTATAAATTATTAATTGTTTGATAAATTAATCAACACTCAATTAGTTTTTTTTTTTTTTTGATTTTATTAAAAATAGATAATATTCTAATTCTTTGTGTGAAAATCAATTTTTATAGGTTATACACATAAAAAATTGACATTAACGATAACTTATTGAATGATCTTGTGAAATAAAATTCATAGGTATGCCACTATTTGAGCCCCTTTACTTAAACTTATGATTCCAACCTTGATTAGAGACCTGCGCAAGTGCCTTTATGATTTTCTCTTATTATATGATAAATTGTTACCGTGTGGCTCAACACCCTATAAGTTTCCAAATACCTACATATATAGCTTTTGATATGTATGCGTGCAAATCTAGGTAATATACATTCTCCAAAACCTATTTCGATAGAATTCTCTTGAGAACATACTCACCGAGAGTTAATAATTATTGGTTGTATGAATCACGATAATACATACATTGCGAGAGAGAAGTTTGATAAAATCACCACTAAACATATTATATTTTTATAATAGAATACAAGATAACATGATAATCCAGTAAATCATCATAATGCACCTTCATATGTAAATTTGGCTAAAAATACAACCATGATCAAAAGTGAGCTGCAGCTTTAAGTTTCATAAACTGCTACAAAAACTTGTTTCTTTTGTAACATTTATCTAAGGGATTAAAATTTTGGGAAATAGAAGGGACAAAAACTAACTAAAACTTATATCTGAGCAATTCTCTAGGGCTAACTTATATCTAGTTAAAAAAAAATTTAGATTCATTATTAGATTATCTAAATATATAATATATTAATAACTGATGGAAAGTTCAAAAATCAGATTTTTATAGTGCTTGAGTTTGTATAAATTTTCTTAAGTCATTGTTATAACTTGGTATTTACTCTCAACAACTATTGGAACTTGTTTGCACTATTTCTAGAATCTATAAGGTTTATAAGTTAGATAAGTTACAAATATATTAGACTAATAAAAAAATAGTTTTATATTATGAATCTATGAAAAAAAGAGCATTCAGTTAGAGTAATCTTTTAGGTCAAGGACAATTTGGATTCTATATTATTGTTAAATCACCGCTACAAAATTATAATATGGACTTTATTAAATTGTGTTGGGGGTAAAATTAGAAAATATATTGTTTTATTAGTGTGCTTTTATGAATTGTATATTGAAAATCATTGATTTTGTAGGTTTTTTTAAGAGCGCACACAAAGTCAAATTTTTATGATTTAATCTATAAGTGTCTTCATATATTTATTTAAGGAAAAAATAGAAATTCAAAATTTTTTTATATTTAGATCAAATTATTAGTGTAAGGTCTAATTGGCCTTATAGGAATTCAAAAAAATTTCATCTAAGATACTTTTATTAGTAGTATAGATGTATGTTGGTTTATATATAGCACGATTCATCTATGTGGTGAGGGTATGTAGTTTGAAGACATCATTCAGAATAACTTTTTCTATGATTAAAAAAAAAATTATATTTTCAAAAATTTGAATTTTAAAATGTACGATGTATAATACAACCAAGTTCAACTGCTTCAGTATACTGAAACCAAGTAAATAAGTGTGCAGTCAACGATTTTTCACAATCTACTGGGATGAGAATTAGGTCTGTCAATCGTATCGGATAATGTGAGTTTGTATCGAGTTTTAGCAGATTCGTGTTAAAAAATACTCTACTTATACATAATTCGTTTATTAATTTGTGTCTAACAAATCGTGTCATGTATTAACTATGTATAATTGATATATAAACGAGTCATGCCGTGCATTTTTTTTAATTGACTTCACTCATACCTAATTCATTTATTAATCATGTTTTGCTGAGTTCACTCGTTTACAAAACGAATGGCTTAAAAAAGACTCAAATCTTCTAATTTATTGTCGTGTTAATAGGTCGTGTCATATTGATGGGAACAATTTTGAAGTGGCGGGGGTCCTAATGTGCTCTATACCTATATATGGTTTTCGAGGTTCTTCAAAATATTGTTGGCATCATTTTTGTGTAATTAGCAAATTACAAATCGCAAAATAAGAATCTTGTTTTCAATGCACAAAATCTACCACACATAAGTTCCTAGAAATTAGAAAGTTATTTAATCCACAATCTAGTAATTAAAATTAAACACAAAAAACTTAATTATACAATAATTCATGTAATATTATATTACATGTTAAAAGAAACAAATATCTACAGTACATGAATCATATCAACCACCAGATCAGCAAATATTGATGTGGTTAAGACTATATACATCTATCCATCTGCCCCAAACTCTGCAGTAACGAAAATCTCGCGCACATGGCTGCCCTTTCTACCGACTTACGCGTGGGAGAAAAAATACCTTTATATATCATCCTAGCAATCCTTTTCGCTTGAACCACATAATGGCTATGAAAAATATGAATATACAACCACCTACTGTTATTGCAGTGGCTTCATAAAATTGTCGAGTGACTCCAACAGCAAGGAGAGGGATGTCAAAGTTCATGCCCAGCAAACCTGTGATCACATTAGCTACATTGAGAATCGCAAATGCTGTGCTCAGCACAACTCCAACTTGCAGCAACTGGTTTTGCTTGTCATCCATAATGATGTTGATGTAGTCCTCTGTATCGTCCACGAATTCTCGCATCTTCGTATCATCAGAAGGAGACGTTAACAAAAAAAGACATGAAAGGAAGCGTGAAAAATTACATAAAGATAAACAATACGGACAAAAATGATATGATAAGACTCAATTGAAACTGATAATTCTTACTTTCTGATGTGATAAAGCATTTTCAGCCATAGGAAGTTAAAGGCAAAAGAACAGTGTGATTCTATACATGTTCAAAAGAACATATTGATTCGTTCCTATTTTGTTGCAAACAATGTCACATTTTAGGTTGATATACATGGTATAGAACACCACTAGCTTAGAAAGAGAAGAGTTGAAAGGCAACTAGGGGTGGAGCGAGGAAATTATTTTAGGGTGGACAGTTTAATAAATTTTAATTTTTTTTTCAATTGATTAAAGAAGTTTATACATTCATATTTACTAAAATTATATTTGATACTTACAAGTTAATTAAACATAAAAGGTTAAAAATTTATATACACAATGTGTGTATAAATAAAAAACATGAGAAAAGAAACTAATTATAATTTTTTACCAAAAATAAGTTTAATTATTGTCATTTATAGTTGACTCCAAAGAGTTTTTATCCTTTAAATGACTTGCCATATATCATTAATTATTGTCAATTTGCTTTTTACAGCGTTTCAAATCAATGCTATCAAAAAAAAAAATACTATTTTCACATAAAAAACACATGGTCTTATTCTTCCATTTATGAACCAATATTTTTTACATAATGACTCTCAATTCTATACAAACTAGCCCCAATATATCAAAAACTTATTCGAACACATGTCTAAAAGTTAAGAATATTACTATTTGTACTTGTATCTAATTTGCATATCTGATGGATTTTGGCCATTGAATTGATAGTTAACTTCATTAAATACTAAAACCAACTTTTAATATAAAAGTCACAATGCATTAGATAATCAAATTAAGTCTCCAAATTATATTACAATAATATTGATCTAAAATTAATTGTCCTAATTAATATCACAACAACACAATAATATAAGGTGGACACAATTGAATATATTTAAATTTTATTTAGAAAAATATATATGTGGTTATTTATTAAAAATTGAGGGTTGCCTTGGTGGGGTTTCCACCCCGATTGGCCCCTCGAACCCTTTTTATCGGCCAAATTTTATTTTTTTTAGGGTGGGCATTAGTCCAATAGTGGCTTTGCCAATGACAAACGTGCAGCTGCAAGGGAGTTAGAGCATCACACCTTGATTGTTGTGTGCCCTCTTCTCAATTTTGTCGTCTAAAATAAGGTTGGGCAATTGATAGTGTCATATCAACTCATAGCGTATATTAATTGTGTATAGTTGAGTTTGTGTGTTATATGATTGGATTCTTCTTTTTTATTGAATTGGTAAATAGGTTTAACCGGTCAATTCGGTTGTGACCCAACCCCTAATTAGTACCTTCTTTTTTTCCTTGGGTTAATGACAATTTGCCCTTCAAGTTTGGCTCATGTTGCAATCACTCCATTTGATTTCAATTTCAACGATTTGCCCTTCACACTTCTAAATTTTTTGCAATTAACTCATATCTTTAGGATTTGAGGAATAATTAGCTCAAAGTTAAAATAAATGATTTAAGAGTTTGTTGAAAATAAAAAAATACCCATCTTAGATCA